AGCTCTTCATCTTAAAGCGTTTAATGGCGATTTCCATTTGTCATCAGTGCCGCACTGAGTGCATCCGCATCTTTTTCTAAAAGCATGTAACATGTAAGGATAAGGATACATTTTTTTGCCCTGTTTCGACAAATGGAAAATGCTATAAATTTGATGAGAAAGTTTGTAGATGCATATATATAGAAAACAAATCTGACAATGTGTTGAAGTTAATTAAATTTGGTGTTTGTAGGTATAGATGTTAGCTGGAACAGGAACAGAGGAAAAATTTGTCATCATGTGTCAAAGTCGACAGGTGTACTTATTGTTGCTTGACAATTATTTTTACTTTTCGGCACTCAGTGCGGATAAGGCCTGTATCCGCACTGAGTGCGGAAAAGTGCAACTTTGAGAACCGAAATGCGTGCGGAAAAGTACTACTTTGCGCACGCTCGTAGGAAAACAAATTATTGAAAGCACAAATTGTATTGGGAATTTTTTCAAAAAATTTGAAGGAACGTTTTTTACGTGATGACTGTTCATTAGAAAAAATTATTGATGTATGCAAATCTGTTGAATTAGCAGAAAAAAATATCAAAATGTTATCTTCAATTCCCAATGACATGTGTGTTGACAAAGTTACATATAAAACTGACAGATCAGTGATCAAAAAAATACAATTCAACAAATTTAAATGTTTTCGATGTGGTTCCCAGCATGATTATGGTAATTGCCCAGCATTTGGAAAAAAATGTTTCAATTGTTCACGTATTAACCATTTTTCTTCGGTGTGTAAAACCCAGAAACAAAACGATGTAAGAAAAAATTGTAATGAAGTAGAAACACAAAATGAATCCCGAAATGATGTGGAAGTATATGAAGTAAATGGAAAAACGGAATTATCCGAAGAATTATCCAATTCATGGTTTTCTATAAATGTAATAAATAATGCAGGTGACCTCCAGACTGAAAAATCTTGGTATAAATGGTTGAAACTGGAGGATTTGGAAATCAAATTTAAGCTTGATACAGGTTCAGAGGTGAATATTTTGCCATTAAAATACATCAAGCAACTTGGTTTGCAAGATAATATTAAATTTTTCAATATAAATTTAATTGCCTACGGGGGATTCAAAATTAAATCATTAGGTAAAATTGTTTTTCAAGTGGAAACAGATAAAAATATCAATATTTTAGAATTTGTTGTAGTTAAAGACGATTGTGTTCCGATATTAGGGTTAAATTCATGCCTCAATTTGAATTTAGTTAAACGTATTGATACAATAGCAAATCATTCAAATTTATGTAATAAAACATTTTTTTTTGAAAAATATAAAGACACATTTGAAGGTTTAGGCTGTTTTCCTGATATTTGCCAAATTAAGCTTCATAAAGATGCTATTCCTTTTGCCAGTTCTGCTCGTAGAATATCTATGAAAATCAAAGATAGATTAAAACCAGCTTTAGATTTTTTGGTTGAAAGGGAAATTATAGTTTCAGTAAATGAACCAATCGAGTGGGTTTCTAATATAGTAATTGTCGAAAAACCTAATAAATCTTTAAGAATTTGTATAGATCCAATTCATTTAAACAAATTTATTATTAGGGAAAGATATACTATTCCTACAATAGAGGAACTAGCACCATCTCTTGCATATAAAAAATAATACAGTGTGCTTGATATTAAAGATGGTTTTTATCATTTAAAATTAGATAAGGAGTCAAGCCAACTCTGTGCATTTAGTACAGTATTCGGAACATACAAATTTTTAAGAGCACCATTCGGGTTATGTAATTTACCGGAACTTTTCCACAAATTAGTATTTAAATATTTTGGAGATATTCCAGGGGTCACAATATATTTTGATGATATCTGTATAGCTACCGATACTATTGATCAACATAACCTGGTATACAGGAAGTTTTGGAACGAGCTAAAAAATATAATATAAAATTTAATTTTGAAAAATTTCAATATTGTGTAGAAGAAATTAAATACTTAGGGGTAATTTTTTGTAAAAATGGAATGTTGCCTGATCCTTCAAAAATTGAAGTAATTAAAAATTTGCCTCATCCAAAAAATAAAACAGAATTACAGAGAATATTAGGTATGATAAATTATTTAAGGCATTTTATTCCAAATTTATCCAAGGTTATTTCTCCTTTGCGCGAATTATTAAAAAAAGACATTGAATGGAATTGGTCAAATCTACAAGTTCAATCGTTAAATAAAATTAAAAATATTATTTGTAGTAGTCAAGTTCTTGCTAATTTTGATATATCACTCCCTATTGTCATTCAGTGTGATGCATCAAAAGATGCACTTGGATGTTGTCTTTTACAAAATAATAAGCCTGTTTGTTTTGCTTCTAGGTGTTTAAATTCAGCAGAAATTGAATATGCGCAAATTGAAAAAGAACTTTTGGCTATTACTTTTTCCTGTCAGAAATTTCATAATTATATTTATGGACACAATGATGTTACTATTTATACAGATCATATGCCATTATTATCTATCATTTCAAAAAGCATTGGGAAAATACAAAATAATAGAATTCGGCGTTTGAAACTAAAGTTATTTTTGTATAATTTTAAAATAAAATATTTGCCTGGCAAAAAAATGTATATTGCAGATTTTTTATCAAGATGTAATGTAAAAACACCTATATATCATGATCATTTAATGAATGACGTTGTACATGTAATAACAGATAAAACTTTAAATATTTCTGATGAAAAATTGAAAGAATTTCAAGAAGAATCTCTCAAAGATAGTGTTCTATCTAATATTATAAATTTTTATAAAAATGGTTGGCCAAAAAATTTCAATATGACCGGTGATTTAACTCATTATTACAAATTAAGAAATAATATAGAACTTGCAGATGGTTTACTTTATTATAATGATCGATTGATGATACCAAGTTCAATGAGAAAATTTATGTTAAACTTATTACATGAAACACATTCCAGTGCATCTAAAGTGCTTGAAATTGTTAAAAATTTCTTTTACTGGCCAGCAATCATAAATGATGTTAAAAATGTGGTGTCCTCTTGTTCATTATGTCAAAAATATGTCAGATCAAAGTCAAAAGAGCCCCTTATAAATCATACCATACCTAATATTCCATTTTATAAAATTGGTGCTGATATTGCACAATACGCTGGTAAAAATTATCTTGTTATTATGGACTATTTTTCTAGATGGATTGAAATTTGTCCGATTAAAAATAAAACTTCTACTTCTTTGATAAAAGAATTTAAAGGCGTTTTTAGTAAATTAGGAATTCCTTCTTTGCTAATTACTGACAATATGCCATTTTCATCTTTTGAGTTCAAAATGTTTGCTAAAGATTGGAATTTTACTATTCAAACAAGCAGTCCACATTATCCTCAATCTAACGGACTGGCGGAAAAAGCCGTTGGTATTGCCAAAACTATGTTCAAAAAAGCACATGATTCTGGTATCGATTTGGAATTATATTTGCTAAATTATCGTAATTCACCTGTAGCAGGTCTTATTTACTCACCAGCACAATTGATGTCAAGTAGAATTTTAAGATCCAAATTACCAATTTTATCAGAAAATTTAATACCGAAACTTGTACCTAGTGCAGTTTTCACAGAAATGGAAAATATGCAAACCAGGCGAAAAGAGTATTACAACAAAAATAGTATCGGTGAAACTGATTTTGTTGAGGGGGAAAAGGTATTGATTCAAGACGTTTCTACTAAGCTTTGGCATCCAGGAGTTATTATTAGTAAATGTTCACAGCCTAGATCTTATTTAATTAAAACATTGGATAATGAAAATGTTTTACGAAGAAACTCACGGTTTCTACGAAAATATAAAACAAATTTAATTTAGAATTTAAAGGGGAAGATGTTAATATAGGTAATATTAACATAATAATTACCTATATTAATAGACACTTACCAGTTAAACCAGTTATGTCAGTTTGATAGATATATGATTGTTGTTGTCAATTAATATAATAATTGTAATATTAAACGTTCCTGAATAAACCTATATTATAAAATAAAACAGGTACTGTCAACGGTGAAAAAAGTTTCGATTTGACGGCAAAATCCCCATTAACAAAATTATCCTCCATTTATTGAATAATTCATTTATTACAAAAAATGTGATAAATGAAGAACCGCTCGACCGATTTTGTGCAAACTTTACATAAACCATCTAATAAATAGTCCAAACAAAGCCTAAACATTTGGTTTGGCTAGGTGAGTCCGTTCTTGAGTTAAAAAATTACAACGAAAAGTGGCATTCATTTTTATATATATATATAGATAAATAGAAACGAACCTAATAATTAAAACAGCGACCAATAAAGTGAACCTAATCCTATGCAACTTCATTGATCCTGGATGTTTGAAATCTTGATGAGATACCTTCAACCCCACTACGGAATCCAGTCGAAGAAGTTGTAGAAAATATAACCGACTATGCCTCAAACCGACTAAAACGTCAAAAGAAGCTTCCTATCTATTTGAAAGATTAGGAAACTGATAGAGGGTGAATGTTTGTATATGGAACATGTCCTGTACTTCATAATTACCTTTGAACACGAGATTTGAAAATTTATTGTTTTTAAAAATTGTATAGTTTTAAGAGGAATTTGGTTAACGCCATAATAAAGCCCATAAGCAAAGCAAATTTTTTTAAAATATTTCGACAACACAAATAGGCGCCACAAATAGGAAAAAGGAAAAAGTGTTTTCACCAAATGGCAATTTGTGTGCAGAAAAATGAACAGGGAAAGAAAAATCGTGCTCAAGTTGATTTGTACCAAGGAATCAATAACTAGGTTAATAAGGGACACTTCAATACCAAAAAGATTTTAAGTTTATTACTTACCTAATTAAAATTTGTAAATAAAATAACATAAAAACATTTTTTCTATAGAATTAACAATATCAAACTAGAAGTACCGAATTAAATTATTAACTATTTTCTATATTATTGTATATTGTTACAAATTGAAAGTAATTAAATAGGCGGTACATTATTCTTGTTGAATTTATAAAATTTGGCATTGGTAAGTTATAATAATAAATAATTAGAACGACATTGTTGAAAAGTCAGTTACATTTTATTATGAACCTACATTCAGTATCGCAAATATTATATTATAAAATACCATCAGTCTAGCGTTATACGTTCAAAAGCCATTATAGTTATTACCTAAGCTATCAAGGGTGGTATCGCTATTATAAGCCACATAAATTGATACTTTGTATACATCGTATACTGCACCATAAGAAAAACTGGTGTTTCATTTGTTCATAATAAACTATTATAACAAATAATGACATATTAAAGAAAAACATGAGAATATCGAGAATATCCAACCCTGTTGTTACCTAGTTATTTGGCTTATAATACCCTTGGTAACCCTAATTATGCAAAAAATCAATTTAGTGGAATTCATAATCAACACACAACCTTATTTTTCTCCTATTTCTAAATTTAATTTCCTAAACATTACAAAGTCATCTTAATCTAATCTATAATTATTACGGTGTCAAATATCATGTTTATGCTTACTCTCTAAAAACGGTTAAATTGTTCAAAAAAATCAACAAAAACATTAAGTCAGGAACCTTAAGGTTTATTGCACGGGTTTGAATACGAAATTGAATACTTTTTACGGCTTTTACTATATTATTATCACCTTTTTTCAGGAGCTGCCATCTTGTAAATGGCATTGTACACCTTCTCTTGCAGCGCCTTTATTTTCACTCGCATTTCAGCGGTGAAAGGGTCAAAGTTCAGGACTCGTCTTTTCCTCCTGAAAAAGAGAAACTCTTTAGGAGCATGTAGCATGTTTTATCTTAACCCTCTGTCCTATTAGGTATTATAGGTTTTGGCCCCACACTTAGATATCTCACAAATTAGATTCGAATTTGAAATACTGTTAAGAGAAGTAGGTACCTACATATTATATTTGTAACAAACCCAATATTTATTATATCTCCATATTACCTATATTACCTATATTACCTATATTACCTATTACATATCGCTACATGCAAACTGGTAGAATTTTTTGTGAAAGGAATTGTCAATTAAATCAATCAAATAATTTAAAAATGGAGTTTTTCTGCGAAATAAATGGCGTATTCGACTACCCAGCGCTGGCTCCGATCAAGTTCGAAAAATGATGGTGCAGTTGCACTGAAATCAAGAGCAGGTATTTGGCGATTTGATCGCGCGCTGGGTCAGTGCGAATTGTCAAAAAAAGTGAACTGGTTTCGTGAAAATATGAGTTGAAGCGTTTGTGTGTGCCCCATTATTGCACTTGGATCTTGAGCCGTTTTCTCGCGTCCACTTTTTTCAAAACAGTTTTGAAACGGGCAATATGGTGTTAACATTGCCCGTTTCAAACCTGTTTTGAAAAAAGTGGACGCGAGAAAACGGCTTTAGATTGCGTTTACTTTTTTCTCCAATTTCACCTAATCTCAGTTCAAATTGATAAATTTTGAAAGGATAACGCACACCTAACATGGGATTTTTGGGCTCTATGGATTATGCCCATTTTTTGATATGTTGTGGAGGATTTAATTCTGAACAACCTTTAAATGGGACGAATTTTTATAGGTATTACGGTCTTTGAGATATGAGCGTTGAAAGATTAACTTTATTGCAACTTTTTGTGTGGAGAGTATACGAAAAACTGGTGTTTATCAGTTAAAATATTGACAAGTCGACATATTTTACGTCACTAACAGATGTCAACATAGGCTTAGGCCGGGACAGCACTGGCGCCAACATTGACTCCAGTGCGATCCCGGCCTTAACCTAAGTTGACATAAATTTATAAGTGACGTAATATATGTGAACCTGTCAATATTTTGACTGATAAACACCAGCACAGAACATATCACCTATAGAAAAATATCTCAAATGGGAGAATCGCGACGAAGGTTTTTAGTTAGGTTTTCAGTCAACGATGGCGACACTGTCGGGAGATAAGAGAAATTTACAGGTATCTGTGGTGTGGACAGTGATTTGTGTTGGTTGGTTTTGTCATTTATTTTGTCATTTTAGAAGTCAAAATTTGAATTTGTAAATTGTGTTGTTGTAAACCATGGTCCCCACGCGCGTTAAAGTGAAAATTCAAAAAGTTTTGGTTGAAAAAAACCCTAATTTTTGTTCGTATTTTTTTGTATTTACTCGTTTGTTTCGTTTCGTTCGTATTTGTATTTATTATTCGTATTTATTTTGCGATCTACCTATAGCTGCGTGTCCCTTGCTAACTTACTAACTCTTTTTGCACTTTGTTCGACATCGGAAACTTCCTGCCAGTCATAGTTTTCAAAAAAATGAGGCCAAAAGAGTTGAAAGGAGTCAGCAACCCAAATGCAGTTGAACATTAAAAATTATTTCAAAATAATAAAAATATATGAAAAAAATCAATTCGCCTTTTTGTCAAGAATGCTCGATTAGTTGGGTTTTCAATCAACGATGTCGCTGTAATTCATAACCGGTACATAACATTGCAGATACTTTTCTAGAGGTGATATGTTCTGTGAACACCAGTAGCACCAGTATCTCGTATACTCTCCACACAAAAAGCCGCAAAAAAGTTCATCTTTCAGCGCTCATAACTCAAAGACCGTAATACCTATAAGATTTGGTCCCATTTAAAGGTTGTTCAGAAGTAAACCCTCTACAACATATCAAAAAATGGGCAAAATCCATAGAGCCCAAAAATCCCATGTTAGATGTGCGTTATCCTTTATTTCGGATTTCCGATTTAATTTCCGGCAATGTCTACTTTAAAACTCACAGAAATAGTATACCCACTAGTACTGCTACTTCTACTTGATGATAATACATCTGCAGCTAATCAACAATTTCCTCTTTTTATTATTCATATTTCATTTCACACAAACTGAACAAACATTCAAAAACGCAAAATAAATAATTAGAAAGACAAAAGACGGATTGAAAATTTGAGGTTATTTTTTCAAAGAATCCAGTGCAATCTACTTGAACCGCCAAAAATTACAGTTCCAAAAAGTTCGAACGCTGGACGAACCACGCTTACAATCCGAACATAAAGTATTGCTCTGCCCGCGCTTAGTTCGGGTAGTCGAACACGAGAAATGTTTGCTCGCTTATGAGCTGAATCAACCCGAACATGAATTATTGCACTGCACTCGCAAAATGCGAGCCGAGTGCGCACTAGTGCCGGTAGTCGAATACGCCAAAAGTCATCAAACGAAACTTGTGTTAACAGTGATCTGTTATATTGGCGCCCAACGTGGGGCCAGAAAAGTATCATAAACTGGTGAAGTGACTCTGGAAAGTTCGCACAAACTTTGCAAGTTTTGTTTTGTTTTTGTATGTAAGTATCTTGCTATGAATTGTGATGTTTTTCCTATTCATTGATATCTGAACTTTAAGACTTTCATAAATAGTGCTGTTTTTCCTATTTATTGAAATCTGAACTTGAAGACTTTCATAAATAGTGCTGTTTTTCCTATTTATTGAAATCTGAACTTTAATACTTTTATGAATAGTGCGGTTATTCCTATTTATTGAACTTTGATCTTTAAAAACTTTCACAAGGATTTTCATAAATAGTGCGGTTATTCCTATTTATTGAACTTCGAATTTAAAGTCTTCGTACCTAAATAGTGCAGATTTATAGACTTGAGAGCCCATGGGCTGCCCCTGTTGTCATGGTGCCAAAACGGAATGGTAAAATCAGAGTGTCCATCGACTACCAAAAGCTCAATAGCATTACAATTAGCGACAAGTATCCAATGCCCCGAATAGATGACTTTTTACAAGGAACAAAACAGACGAAATACATGTCCACAATAGACTTACAGTCCGGATTTTGGCAAATATCAGTAGAGGAAAAGGATCGGGATAAAACGGCATTTGTCACCCGCTTTGGTCTATTCAGGTTTAAAAGGATGCCGTTCGGTCTTAAAAACGCTCCAGTTGTATTCCAGAGACTAATAGATAAATTTAAGAGTGGTCTTGATGTCATGGTATTTGCATATTTGGATGATCTGCCACATGCAAACTGGTAGAATTTTTTGTCAACGGTATTGTCAATCAATAAATCAAATAATTTAAAAATGTTAGAGTTTTTCTGCGAAATAAAGTAGTTATATCAAACGAAACTTGTGTTAACAGTGATTTGTTATATATTCTATTACTTCGTCTCAAATGTAATTCTCAAATAGAGTCAGTGTTTCTTTTACGCATCCTTGAATGTCTAATTAACGCAGTTTTTACTAATGTTTGGTCTATAGCTTTTTCTTATACGTATATAATTTTACCTGTAGATTCCTTCTTTCTGTTCGATGGCGCACTGAAACTTTTTCTCCGGCACGTAAACTCCTAGAAAATTTATCACAGTTTTTAGAGTGTGTTCCGTATTATCCACTAGTTGTTCGTAGAATATCACGTGTGTAGGCCCAGTGAAGTTGTACAGCCAGTCCATGTTGATCTGGTGCCAACCTCTGAGGTTATCGGCTACGAATTGGTTCCAGTCTAAAAAAAAATATTTTTTTTACTCCCTATAGGTACCTAAGAAAATATGATTGCCGAATGGATGTCAAAATAGTAATTTTCCTCCCTAGATTCTCTAGGGAGCAAACTAGTACCTACTTTTCCTCTTGAGAAATTCAGATCAAATTAATGGCTACGAGTAGGTTCATACTCATTTTTATTTAATGGTTTCGCAAATAGTAGTTTTCTCCTGGAACAAAGTGCCATTTCCTTCCTTGGATTTTGATAAAACTATCCGCGGGAGGAAATGATGGACTTTGCTCCCTTGTGACAAATATATTTTCCTACTTTTAAATTTAGAGTGTTTCATGCATTATTTAAAAAAAAAAATGTGTGCGACGATAACAGATAAGTGCGGCGATGAGAGCAGAGACAAGAGCAGCGCAAAATTGGATTCTATATAGCAGAGCTTCAACATTTACGACGATCCCCATTTTACAGGTTGAGGAGAGCTTACCACACTACTGGAAATTGTTTTTTTCAGTGAACATTTTTGAAGAGGAAATACTTTTAACTTTTGCTGTTGAATAATAGGTATAATATTAACAGGGCGAGTTTTCTGAATAAGAAATACTCCTCAAGACAAATATAATATGTATAGAGTTGAGAGTTACATCATCCTAATAAATAATTGAGGCAATACCCTGTAAAAGCTCGGATTGGAGAAATTTTGGGGGTTACCATTTTGGGTTAGTTTGGATAAGTTAGTAAAAAAACATATTTCTTACATTTTCCATTATTCCTACGGTATCTATCTGGCGAAGCAAATCCAATATGACCGCCACTTTGTCGATTAAATTCGGCCTGTATCGATTTGTCGGGCGCCCTGACCAATAAAATCGCTTTGGAGAACATGTTTCTGGCATTAAGGCCCCACTCATGAGTCTTCACCACTAATACTGAACTGTTTACGATGCTTTCGGCAGGAAATCCGTTTTTTAGTAGTCCATAGTCTTTGTAGACTGATCCTGTGTAATAACCTGAAATGATAAATCATTGAAGTTTTTAGGAAAAATTTCTTTTAGGATTCGTTAATAAGTAATGGTTTACTAATGTATCGAATTCATGTGAAAATTGTAAGCGCACGTTAATAATTATTTTTACGCTAGTTTGCAAGCTATATTATAAAACCCCATGTTATTATTATACAAATAATTTCCCTTTTCAATGTTAAATATAAGCATACGCCACTGTGAAAGCCCACGATATTCTAAAGATGCTAAGTGAGGGATACTGCCTGGAAAAGTACCGTCATATGCCGCATAATGCCGCAGCAATTTAGAGTCTAGTATTTTTTGTTGTAACTTCTCAGTTTTTAATAAAATAAATAGTTTTTAAAAACAAGATTTACTGGACGAAAAATATAATTGGCGCAGTTCGGCGGAGCGGATCTTCAGAGTGCTAGAGTCCAGAGATTGAATTTTCGGAAACAAAAAGTTTAGTCCAGTTCGGTCCACTTTTTCTAAAAATTAATTGAATAAAAGAATCAACAAGAACCAACGTACAAAATTGAAGTGATACAGTTTCAAGTATCGTGCCTTGTAAGTAATCCCTTTTTCCTAAAAATTGTATTTTGTAATTGGTGTTCCATAATTAAGTTCTTTTGAATATTTCTTTTTTTTTTTTGAGTTTTTTTTATCAATAAAAAATTCTGAATCTCAATTTGTTTTGGCGTTGAGATCAAATACAAATAAATCAAAAAAGTAACCTAAAAGACTGAATAATTAATTTAAAAATTTAATTTTTAATTTTATTTTGATTTATTTTCATATACCTACTAAATTTTTAATTTTTGAATTTTATAATTTTTCAATTTTTGAATATTTCCAATCGGCTCAAATCGAATCAAAAATTCCTAACAATTATTGACAGCTTTTCGAAGTTTGCACAAGTTATCCTAATTATTAGCAAAACTTCAGTTGAAATTGCACCACAACTAATAAGACATTTCAGTGATCACGGAATTCCACAAAGAATTACTTCTGATAACGGAACTGAATTTAAAAATGCAATTTTAACAGATTTAGGTACTTTACATAAAATCGAATTTCATTATACGACTCCTCGAAATCCTAATTCGAACAGTCCTATAGAGAGAATCCATTCTACCTTGAGAGAAAGTTTAACAAGCTTGAAATTACAAAGCCCTAATAAAAACATTAACGACCTAATGATAATTGCAATCTTGAACTATAATAACAGCATACATAGTGTTACAGGTTATACATCTTTCCAAATAATTGAAGGCGATTTAAATTATTCAAAACTTATCGAAAATTCACAAAATAAGATAATCACAGATTATATCAATAATCTTGCCGAATCATTAGAAACTCTAAATAGTGTAATTCATGACAAATTAAATTCAAAGCAAACACAGAATTTAGAGGAAATTAATAAACAACGTAAAAAAGAACCTGAATTAAAGGATCCTATTTTTATTAAGCAATTTAACAGAAATAAAATTAGTCCTCGATATGGTGCTAAAACACAAGTCAGATTTAGTAAACAAATGGTAAAGCGACAACATTTTGTTTCAGAAAAACCAAAATGTTCCTGGTAACCTTCATCATCCTCATCATAAGAATTTCCAGTAACGCCTACACGTTAACTCCATTAAGAAATCCAATTTTACGAATTTCTATAGGAACCACTTACATCACATCATAATGGCGGTTTTATACCAAACCGACTAGTTGAGTTGCTGTTTTGTTGCTGTTTTAAAAAACAAAAACTCAACTGTTTTTACCGATAAAACTGTTCACACTTAATAAATATTATAAAATAATGAACACCCATCTACTATCTGAATTGAACTAAACAAAACTGCAACCGTTTCTCTGATTTAAAGGCGGTTTTACACCAAACAGACTAGTTGGAGCTGCTGTTTTGTTGCTGTTTTAAAAAACAAAAAATCAACTGTTTTCACTGATAAAACTGTTCACACTTAATAAATAATATAAAATAATTAACACCTATCACTTTCTGAATTGAACTAAACGAAACTGCAAACGTTTTTCTGATGTAAAACGACAGAAAATAAAAACTCGTCAGTAACTATTTTTTTCCTGTTTAGTGTGAACAATTTTATGTTCAAAAATAATTGAGTTTTTGTTTTTTAAAACAGCAACAAAACAGCAACTCAACTAGTCGGTTTGGTGTAAAACCGCCATAAAACGACAGAAAATAAAAACTCGACAGCTACTTATTTTTGGATGTTTAGTGTGAACAGTTTTATCGATAAAAACAGTTCAGTTTTTGTTTTTTAAAACAGCAACAAAACAGCAACTCAACTAGTCGGTTTGGTGTAAAACCGCCATAACACAGATATGCTATCACATTAATATTACCCTTATTGAAAAAAGTATTGAAATTCTCGAAATAACCTTAAAGAATTCAAACAATACTGTAAATCTAATCAAATGGTCTAATAAAGACGAAATTGTTACTTTATCACAAATAAATATGAAACTAGTCAATCACGTATCAATACATTAAAGAAATTTGTAAAACAGTTCTCACACGAACGAAATAAACGTGGAGTATTCAATTTCATAGGTACAGTACAAAAATGGCTGTATATGGAACACTAGACGCAAATGACGGTGATAGATATGATTAACATTAAATGAGAATCAGAAAACTATCAATGAAAATCTAAAAGATCAAACAAGCGCAATTAACTAAGTAACGAAAAAATTTCATGATCAATTTTCAAATATCGAAAATAATCATATATTAATTTCAGATAAGATGTGAAATATTTCGACGGATAATCAAAATATTCAGACTTAATACAAAACGCAATCAGTTTTGCATACGTAAACATAATGCATTATACAATACTGCAGCATAATGAATTAAACTTGATCTTAACAAACATACCCACAAGTCAACAAATACCTTTTCACAATACTATGAGACAATGTCCTCTCATGTAATAATTCAAAAGGAACTAATTATATTTACTATATTAACACCAATCCTTAACCTTTTATATTGTATGAACTATTTCCTATAGCCATCCAAAATTATACAATTAGTGTTAAGTATCCTTTTTTGTTACTTACCACATACACGTGTCCATGTCCAAATATGGAAGACATTTATTTGTGTAAAATGGTACTATTGGAACAAGATGAGCCCTGTGTTCACCATATTGTATCTAGTGAACAACAATTATGCCCATTCACGAAAATTCAATACGAAGAATCAACAATTGAAGAAATACCCAATAATCAAGTATTGGTTATTCCAAACTGACATGTAACACCAATGCTGCAATGTGACCAGAAGAAATACATGGAAATCATTTCCAGTCCGATCGTAATTTCCAAAGAAAAATGTTCATAAGTGTCTAAATACCTATACGTTTTTCAACCTAAGAACTCCAATTTCTCAAAAGAGAGAAAGCCAAACTCAAAGAACCGAATGAGCTGCCCAGCCTTCTAAAAGCTACCTACATCAAAGTCGGTAGTCGAATCAATTTGTCTGAATTTTTCTGTCGTCAATATGAATCCCTTCGAGTGAAACCAGCGATACAACTACGTTGCCAAAAGAATCAGCGCGCTATTGAAAGTTGGAAGAGTGAACTCGTGAACATTTAATTCATTTATTTGGAGGTTTGTCTTACGGATACGAGTGAATACTTTTTGTAATTACGTAAGTGTACGCAGGAAAAAAATTTCTAAGGCATAATCTCCACGTAGGTATTCGTAATACAATTTCCATCAGCCTTTCAAAAATAGCGGAATGATAATCCAAAAGGCATAACCTTGAACTGATTAAGAAAACTCTGCCATACCTATCTGTCTTTTTCAGTAATGCACACCTGTCAGTATTCGCATTTCAAACCCAAAGTAGAAAAAGAGTTTGAGTCCGCCAAAGTCGGAAGGGTATCGTCCCTGCTAGATAATGGGCCACTGTTGGTGATATTGTTAAGCTGGCTATAATCGACGCAACCTCTGGTAGATGCATCTTTCTTGTTTACTATAGCAATTGGCGATGACTACTGACCACGGACTTAAAATCTGTTCAACAACTCCCTCTGCTACTAACTAGTGACTCCACTTCTTGTTGCTTAGTCATGGCTGGCAAGTCTTTTAGGTGGTTGACGGGTTGGATGAGCACTGCCTGTATTGATTTGATGCTTAAAATCATGTTCGTCTTACCAGTTTCGCCATTTTTACCTTATCAAAACCTCTTTGAAGGTCGCTAGATGATTTATTTCCTTTCTTTTTCTGTTATTCAGCATCAACCTATGACCAGCTCATAGGTGGCTATCACATCGTCGTGGTTCATTTGAATAGCGTTATGGCAAAGGTTTGCTATTTGGACACGTATGATTCCTTGAGTTTACCTAGGTAAACGATATTGGGTCGTTAGGTTTGGATAGTACAAACGACTCTCCAGTGCCCAATTTCAGGATGGATATATTTTCAGTTCTATTATTGGCCGCTAGTTGTTATAACAGCTTTAATTGAAATAATTGACATTACTCAAAGCTCACTTATCTGTTATCACTATGCTTTATAACATACCTACAAAACCGAGAAATCTCTAGAATCCGTGTAAATCGTTATTTATAAAATGCATACAATGGAAAAGAATTCCTGGAATATTCCCATCTAGGGGCACTGATCCTGCAGAGAACCGTCGGCTTTTCCGCACAATGTAATTTGATAAAAATGCATTTTGATTTTAATTCCAATCTCATTATCAGGGTAATATTTCAAAAAAAAAAGAAGTAAATTCTGGATAATCGATTACCTATGATTATTGTATAGATTGCGTGAAGACTCGTTTTGGCTACTACAGCTTCTCGGCACTGCTCGCAGATATTTTGCTCACGACTCTACACCTTACTTTGTGTGCAGTCCAAGTTCATAATTTAAATTTAGGCTTCTTCCCTAGAAAGTTTCTGAGGGGTTTTAAGAGCGCTCTTCATGACTATGATGTATATTATGCATCATAGTCATATAATCGTTGATACAATGTTTATGTCCGACCAGGTTTTTGGGCCAAAAATTAGACTATTAAAAATTATACCTATGTAAAGTATGATTTTTTTTTAATAACTGACATTATTGACATGATGTTGACAACAGAAAGCTTTTCCATATGAAAAATTCCACGACATTAAAAAAATCATGTTTTTATTCGATCCAAAAAGCCATGTTGTATGAATAATAAATGTCTAGACAATTACTAATAAATGAAAAACAGAACAATTATCATTTGTCAATAGGTAGGTATTAAATGTAGACCTAATGGGTGTAATTCGATTTTATTTCAAATTTATCATAGGTAATTGTTATTTTGAGGATGTCAATTCCATAATATGCTGAAATTCTTTTCAGCTATCTAAAACATTCCTCGCTTAAGAAAGTTGACGCATCTGGTGATGTAAATAGGTACCTATTCTATCGCATTTCCAACACTAATGTTATTAGAGGCCACTAAACAATCAATTGGCATACAACAGCATTAGGTACTTTAATAATTAATACACGGTCATCGGTGAACGTCAAAAATAAATAAACAAGAGAAAATATTGTATAGATTCTTACCTGTGGCTTGCTGTAACAAATATCTTAACCAAGTGTTGCCACTGCCAGGAAAACTGACCAGAGCTACCGGTTTCTGTTTGCCAAAAACATCATCTGGCGGTATAAATTTCAATTCTGAGCACCAATGGATTTTGGAACGTTTCAAGACTGGCCGAAAAGCTCCTGCGCTGTAATCCGAGCTTCTTACGCGTTTTGGTAGTTGCGGTTTCGGGACTAGCGATTTGTCTGGGGATATAGGCTTGAAAAAAAAAACATTTTGCTTTTTATAAGGATTTTCTCTGCAATTTTTAACCAACTGTCTATTATGACTTGATTCTCTATTAAAAAGATATTTTATAATCTGTATTTCATGGGATACAAACTGGGGCTTGAGGGAGGGATTTCATTCCTAATCCAGCTATCAAAACAAGTGTGCGCATTACCTATAGAATTGGAAACCTAACATTTCTGAAAAAGAATGTGTTTGATCATTGCATTAGGATGTTGCAAAACAATAAAGATGACGTTTTGTGACTAAGGGCACAGAACATATCACCTCTAGAAAAGTATCTGCAATGTTATGTACCGGTTATGAATTACAGCGACATCGTTGACTGAAAACCCAACTAATCGAGCATTCTTGACAAAAAGGCGAATTGATTTTTTTCATATAACGAGTAAATAAGTACAAAAAAAAATACGAACAAAAATTAGGGTTTTTTTTCAACCAAAACTTTTTGAATTTTCATTTTAACGCGCGTGGGGACCATGGTTTACAACAACACAATTTAAAAATTCAAATTTTGACTTTTAAAATGACAAAACCATAGAGAAATATAATAAACCAAGGTGAGAGTTACCGATTCTGTGGTACGACACTGGCAACGCGATGACGTCAGATCGATACTAGCGCCACCGTACACTACAAGACCAACTTAAATAACATTTGGCGGGCTTTTTGAACTTTTAAATTATAGTTTTGTTATTTCTGAAGGTAGAAATTTAACCCAGCGTTTTTTCCGCGGTCGACAGAAAAAAAATTGCGGAAAAACGCTGGCCTGGAAACAAAAATAAATACGGTTAATCGCTAAAAATTGGCTCATATATTTTCATCTTTCGAATTTAACAAAGAACATACGTATACAAATAAAATAAATATACATAAACAATGTAAATAAAGAAATAATAAAAATTAAATTATAATTATACCGCAAGATAACAACAAAAAAAAAGCGAAAACAGCCAAAACGTCTCACTTTCTACTAATAATAGGTTACTATTTAATAATTATCATTACTTATGTATAAACTGAGCCATTTTCACATTGTATATCTCGTAAATCTTACCAGAATCATGCATTTTTAAATCAACTAATAAATTGAGATTTAGGTTGACTAATTTGTGTCCAAAATTTTTTTGTCAGTTTTGAACATGTCATTGTACAATAATTAAAAAATCCTTTGTCCTCTTTTCCTTTATTATCGCATCTGTTAAAAAGAGATAGATATGAGAATGGAAGGTGATGTCAGAATTGTCAGATAGTTCCAAGCTATGCTAGCGACACCATGTGCTACAAGAAACAACTAGAAATACGTTGCCACTTCGCGCATATGAAACGGTAACTCTTACCTTGGTTTATTATATTTCTCTATGGACAAAACCAACCGACACAAATCACTGTCCACACCACAGATACCTGTAAATTTCTCTTATCTCCCGACAGTGTCGCCATCGTTGACTAAAAACCTAATATAACTGAAAACCTTCGTCGCGATTCTCCCATTTGAGATATTTTTCTATAGGTGATATGTTCTGTGACTAAGGGTTATGCTATGCACAGTGAGGTGTCAAATTTTCCAATCGGAACGGAAAAGTCGAGCGCTATAGTCGAACCCTCTTTTAAATGTCACATCAAAATCTTCTGACGACGAAAGAAAATGGGATCAAAAATGCTCAGCATAAAGAGAAGAGAAGATTCATGAAAAATAGCCCCAATATCTGAGACCAATGGTCTTCTATCATCACTCCCTATCCTAACATACTGTCAAGCATTTAAAGCACAAAAATATAGAGAACATATAGCTAAAATACAAGGGGTCATGGAAAAAAAAATTCCAAAAACATCAAAGGAGCAGATCGGAAGAGAAATCCGTGATGAAACAAAAGTAAAGCAAGACTGAAATAGAAATTCGCTGGACATACCACGAGACAAAAAGGATGTTCGAAAATAATAATAATACCCTGGAGATCATAGAATCATATAGGCGATGAAGAGAAAGAACACAAATAGGTACGATGGTCACATGATTTAAAAAAAACATAAATAAGAAATTAAAAGCCCATGGAGGAATTGAAGGGAGGCCTATAGGTCGAGCGGCGTACGTTCGGAGCTGATTAGATAGATATATAGATAACAATATACAATAATGCACACGTGTGCATTGCGAGTTGAATCGGTAAAATAATAACGAAATAAAGTAAGGGGTTTCTGAATAATCAATAAATAAAGAAATTCCCTAATCCTAATCGTTTTTTTTTGTATGTGTTCTATTTATTGAAAAATAGTCTGTTTCTGACATTCTGATACCTACCTCCCACTCCGTGAAATGAAATTTGTTTTCCAATGTCTTAAATTTCTGTATACTGACCAATTCCCAGAAAAAATTACTGAGCTCCGCAATGACATTCAACATTTACTCAAGTATAGGAAAAATGTGAATTATTGATGACCTAACCACAAAGAATCCTCTGAAACTTCCAGATCCCAAGCAAATATATTCTGTTTGTATATGTGTAAAGTATTTTTTTATAAAAATAAGTAATTTTCGGAATTTTGGGTCAAGGTTTTCCAAATTCGAAATAATTCCTACAAATAATGCGTTCCTGTAAACAATATTTTCACAACAATAATAATTGCTGCTTTACACACATACTTAATCTACCGCTTGTTGTTAAATCTGATAAGTGAATAACATGTCGGAAAATCAATCATATATCAGTTACCGAGATCTTAAGTATTCGCACAATCAAAGTTTACAGCTACAGTTCTCTGATGGTACTTCAACTGAAACTATACATTCTGAATCAACCACAAAGGGCCTGAAACGGATGCATGTAAAACAGCTCCTTGGTAACAGTAAATTTGAAATAGTTGCGGTATTTTCAAACTTGTAACTATACTGAAAGCATGACATCTTAAGAATAAGAATTAATAACTTATTTTTGTATTTGGAATTGTTTACTACTTTCATGTTTTATAAAATCATTTGATGGATGGCGCTGCATAATTGTGTTCGATAACTTTTCTATGGTATGGTTAGATATCTGTTTAAATAAGAATTTGAGGTAAAGTTGAAATGTGTCAATTTTTCAGCTGTTAGTTTGAAGTTTTGCTGTACTTGTACTACCCATGTGTTCTTTGTTTTGTGGTGGATTGTGGATAAATAAATTAATCAAAATTCTGCGTTTATTTAATATAAAATAAGATAAAATCTCAACAGGTTATGGACCCAGGTCCCACAGATCCCTACAACACAAAGCACACGAGTGAAAAATCAAAATAAAACCAGTTAAAAAGTTGAAAATAGTCTTCTTCGCGGTGAAGTGAAAAATTGGTGTAAAAGACAAATAAAAGACTAAAATGGCGTCTTCTGATGAAGCAATTCAAATTGAAAAACTAACAGATAGTGAAACCCAGCAGATAAGGAAATTCCAAATAATAGTTTTTGGAAGGGTATTGATGCAGATATTGAAAATACTGTCAAAAGCTGTTTACCTTGTTGTAATATACAAAAAAATCCTGTTAAGGCACCAGTTCATCAATGGGAACCTCCAAGAGAAAATTGGCAAAGAGTACATATGGATTATGCCGGACCTTTTCTAAATAATTATTTTTTTTATTGTAGTGGATTCAAAGTCCAAATGGCCAGAAATTACTATGACAAAAAATGTACCAACTACATCAGGAACAATTACAAATCTTCGAGAAATCTTCAGTCGACAGGGTTTACCAGAAATTCTAGTGAGCGATAATGCATCAATTTTTAAATCCAAGGAATTTCAAGAATTTTGTCATCGTAATGGTATACAACAACGTTTCATTGCTCCTGGTCACCCTGCTACAAATGGACAAGCTGAACGATATTGTCAAACACTTAAATCAAAGTTGAAACGCATGATCAATGATACCGGAACAATTCATGAAAAATTACATAAATTCCTTTTGAAATATCGAGTTACTCCATTGGCATCTGGCAAATCACCTTCTGAAATGTTATATGGAAGAAGAATTAGAACTAAACTAGACTTTATTCGACCCAATCTTTCAAATAACACAGAAAAAAGATTACAAAACTATAATTCAAACATAACATTATATAATCCAGGAGATAGAGTACAATCACGCAACTATAGCGGATCAGAATTATGGAAATATGGGAAAATTCTCAAACGTTTGGGAAAACTTCACTATATCATTGAATTAGATGACGGATACACTATAAAACGACATTACAATCAAATTAGATTATGCCAAATAAGAAAAAATCCCGAAGAGAAGGTAACAGACAAAAAAAAGTGAAAAAACCGAAGCTTCTAAAAATTCTCAATTTATTTTCCAATCTCCAACTAATGGAACTAATGGAAGAAAAAACATGACAGTAAGAAATACAGCAGTTCGAGTCCTAGTTTTTGTGAAGAAAATGAGGGAGGCTATGTCCAAGGAAAACCATTACAACTAAGACGTTCTACGAGAATAAGGAAACCTATTGAACGTTTAAGTTATGGCTAATCAAGTTTATTACTTATTTAGCCGTGATATTATGCGACGAAGAATCTGTTATGTATTTTTAGTTATCACCTGATGGATATGTGGTTGTTATACTGATTGTTATTATTATAGACAGTTATTTATGTATTATTTATATTATTCACATATTTCTCATTGATCAATTACTTATGTAGCTCTGATACTATACGGCGGAGAATCTGTTATGTATTTTGTATTATTATTCTATTATGTATTTTGTATTTTATGAGTTATCACCTGGATAACCAGTTGTTGTAATAATCGTCAATTTGATAGACAGATGTAGATCATTATTATTATAAAAAGTCAAATATAATCTATCATCAAGAATATAGTAATTTATTGAAACATCACATTGACCGAATGACCTTACAGAGGAGCCGCGCCTGCTAATCAGTGCATACTCCTTGTTCTCACAAACAAAAACATAAAGAATGTTCTTTTCAAATTCTTTTTGGAAAATTTCGAATATTCTGCAACAATCTATGAATATTCATTTAGAATAATCTTGCAGACAAGACAAATAACGGCTCGGCAAAGTATATTCCTTTGGGTTTTTGTTTGAAATAATAATAATAATAATAATAATTTCATATGGATTGGTACTCAATACCGAATTGATAAATGAAAAATCGGATAGGTATAATTCTGGATTTAACTGAAAGGAATATGGAAAAATGTATATCATGTAAAGTAAATGTTCGAGTCGCCCTGAGAATATAACTAAAGATTTCAAAAATGCTTGCGTTCTATTTTCATTGAATATCCGTAGATAATTTTCATTAAATATTTGTTACTCTCCTGCAATATTATGAGGGACCGGCTATTTATAGAATAATTTAAACAGGATATTTACATAGTACAATTTACATATTCCCTCCTATGTTTTTTAATGCAGATATCATCCACAGACTCTAGGAATAAGCATATTCTTAAAGTTTTAGTTCATGGAACCTCTCTAGATACTAATATTTGGAAAGCTCAATTTGAACAATTCAGATCTTATTACTGGACTTCAGAAATCCATCATGAAAACCTGATGCGAGAAAAATGTTATTGATGTTTCTGTGGCGAGACTAATGTCATATTAACTATTGAGGCTCGCATGCAGGTAGCTACCTAAAAAACTCCTTATTTTGTTATAGGTTTGAGTGTCCATCAACTGTTTAGAGTATGAAAACAATGATGTGTACATTTGTGAAAAGTGGATTACGGGTTGAGCGCACTTCTTCGTATATTACATTTCTAATATTTTTGTAAAATTACCTTATTTCCCAAACGTGAATTTCCCTTCTTAAATCCGTGCAACGATATGGCAGACAAAATCACAACGCCCAGTATATAGCTCAATAATAATAGTCCTAAAAGCCAAAATTTCAATCTGGTAATGAATGGCATTTGGCCATCTTTTTCAGTGTTTTGTTTTTTTTGGTACACTCTAAAATATTACACAAAAATAACAAGTAAATAAATTGAAAATTCTTTGTCTTTGACTTACATTTATTTTTCAGCTTCTTTCAGTGTTCTTTTTAGGACATCGTAACTGAGATTTTCTGCAGAAAAAGAAAACAAACGATTTTTCGAAACAAATAAATAAACACAAATTTTTTGGAGAAACTTCGTAACTTTATACGAAGCTCGATAGTAAACTGACGCCCGTTGTGTAGAATGTTGGATCTGGGTTACGTCTGGATAGAAGGATTGAAATTGGCGTCGCGCCGGCTCGCCCGCGGCGCCCTGCGTCCCTAAACAGTGGCGTCGCGCACTTCAAAATTCCTGAAATGTATGCCATTTATTCGAAAATAAATAAGTAATGCCAAGACCGGGACTCTGGTAACGAATAGCAATCAGCATCGTCATCCTTATCCGCATCCTCTCTCTATTGATTCTGTTAGGAGAGAAGAAGATAACAGGTAATACGATGCGCTAGCGAGAGCGATGGGTGATTGCCATCAAAATACGCTCATTTTTCCAATGTATCGATACACATAGATCCTGAATAATTTTGTTACCAAAAATACATATCTCTTATTCTTATTATTTAACGAATCGAATACACCTTGTTACTGCGTCTTCTACCTCACGTTGCAACTATAGGAATATCCTCTCAAGTAAAATAGATAGGTACTGTTTAAGTAAAAGATGGGGAGCGAATAGTTCACCTGTACAACTTTAAGTGTGTGTATTGCCTAATATATTTTTTGTTTGTTTCTGAGCAAGACAATGCCGTGAGAGGCCATCTTTGTCAACAGATTACAAACACAAAATTGTCAATAAACTTACTCGAAGCCCCTTCAAGCCACAGCCCTGATAAAAATTAATAAACAAATTAATTCTAACACAATGCGGAAGTTTTAAAAAAATTATTTTATGCGAGTTTTAATTAGATTTTATAGAACCTATTATCTTTTTAATGCCGCCAATTAAAAATGCTTACCCCGTTTGTGGCGTGTTGTTTTAACGCTAAATACTTATATCCGTTGGAACTTTCAGGCCAATTTTTGTTTATGTTGCCCTATTTTTCATGCAATTTAGTGCCAATATTTATTTTTGCATTGGCAACACTATCCGTTTTGGCTAGAAATGATTAACTTCCTCCTTGCTGTTGAAATAGAGGTAACACATGTGCCGATTATTTATTTACAAAATGTAGGTATTTATGTATGTACAGGGTGGCCCATCGAAAACAGTCCAGCAAGGTTTTGGGCTTTGTATGTGGAAATTTAAAAAAATCCTCGGACCCGTATAATTTTGTATTCAGGGGGACATATTTACACATTGATTACATCACAGTAACTTCAACCCCTTAGCGGGGGTGGCATTCACCCTTACTTTTTCAAATGGGAAGGGGTATGTTGTGATACATCTTTTGAGAGGGCATCAAATTTTCTTCAAAATGGCGCTTCGTTATTTAAATTTGAGCTACGCGTCGCCGAGCAATGGAATTTCAAACATTTTACTGCAACTCTTATTTACAAATAGGTTCGTGAACAAAAAATCGTTTTTAAACTAACAAATATCAGTCGACAATTTAACTTTATCTTCGGTGAAGTAGTAGTCTAGGAAAATAGTCGAAAAATACATGTATTGCAAAAAAAAAATTCCTACCCGAAAGAACTTTTCAGGGATAATAGGGGGCGGGCGGATGATCATAAAACCAAAAATATCAAACATTCACCCCTCTGGCGTTTGGCGCTATAGGGGTTGAAAGTGCGCCATTGGCGATTACTTGGTACCTATTGATTTTACAAAAAAATGTTTCAAATAAAAGATGTGCAACATTATTTGATCTACAATGTTTATCTAAAGACTTTTTTGATTAAGGGCCGTCTGTGGTCATAAGGGCCGTTTGAAATTTTATAATGAAAATGAAAAATTTTAACCGACGTGAAAATTTTTTCTACAACACATACAACATTTTTGCTTTATGAAGTTTTTACTCACCCCCTGCCGTTTTTCAATAGGGGTAGTTTAAAGTTTATTTATTTTTTCACAAAAAAAATTTCCCTATAAAAGTTTTATAAGATTACATTTCCTACAATTTTTCCCAACAAACCACTCATCCCCATTCAGCGGGGGGACACTTCCCTTAGGGAAATTTTAGTTTTTAGGGGTATATATTAATTTTTTTTTCTTTTCTCACCTTTAGTGTATATAAAAAGGTGCAATTAACATTGTATTGAAATAATTTTTTTTCCACCACCTTTTTGTTTTTAGGGGTAGTTCGCCTATTTTCAACTTTACAAAAAAAAAAGTTATGGAGGAAAGTTGCTCAAAATAATAAAATGAACAAGTTTTCTTTATAATTTTTTTTTGTAAAGATGAAAATAGGCGAACTACCCCTAAAAACAAAAAGGTAGTGAAAAAAAAAATCCTTTTAATACAATGTTAATTGCAACTTTTCATATGCACTAAAGGCGAGAAAAGGAAATAAAAATAATATATACCCCTAAAAACTAAAATTTTCCCGAGGGAAGTGTCCCTCCGCTGGATGGGGGTGAGTTACAAAAAAAGTTGATTAGGAAAAATTGTAGGAAATGTCATCTTATAAAACTTTTATCCCATTTTGACGTTTAAAAATGACATTATTGAACGCATAATAACAAAGGTAAGTAGACGTTTATCACCTGAGTGACTTAAAATATTTTTAACTCACTCTCGGTCTTTAAGTCACTCAGCCAGTATAAAAATCTGCTACAAATACAAACAAACAACTAGTTATACCCTAGCAACTACCAGTTTCAATATTTGATATGCGCTCGCTATATGAATTCTTTTTATAATTTGATTCCTATTAAGTACCTTATTTTTCGAATGTCTATCTATCTAAAATGGGATAAAATTTTGTATACATCACTTGAGTTAAAATGTTTATTCATTCGAAGAAAATTAACCCACTCGCTAGGCTCGTGGGTTAAACTTTCTTCTCATGAATAAACATTCATTTAACTCACTTGGTGTATAAATAACTATTTTTGAGAAAATTTTTTTGTAAAAAAATAAAAAAACTTTAAACTACTCCTATAGGCATTTGCAGCTAAGCGATACGCTACCTACCGGAATATTTGCGAAGCTTCGCATGAGATATAAACAAAGTTTGTTTACATATGATTAACGTGGCTTGCTCCTATCGATTAATATAGATTTGTATTTTATATTGGTAATTGTCCAAATTTTCCTTGAAATGACAGCAAATTGTTGTGTGCCAATGTGTAATTCGTTGAAAAGAAGAAACCCGGAAATATCTTTTCATAAATTTCCTGCAGAATCAGAAATGATTAGGTTGAAAACCGAGTTTGGAGGTTATGAAACTGTTAACAGAGGTAAAGTTTGGATTAATAAACTAAAAATAGGAAAAAAAATAAGCCCATTTATGAGAGTATGTTCTCTTCATTTTGTTCCAAGCGACTTTTTCAGGGGTAAGATAAAATTTATCGCTCAAAATCAGTTTGTAGGTTAATTCGTCTTTTTTTAGTTCTTCAACGAACAAATTTGAAAAAGACTGCTATTCCTTCCAAGAAATTACCGAAAGTTATGCATGGCACAATAGCTACACCATCTGAATGTGCAGCTAGTTCCAGTCGAGAGGACCGGTTGGGCTCGAGAAATAGAACAAAGAGTGCATCATCTGACACACCAATTACTGAAGAACTCGAGGAAGAACTCTTGCATAACTTGGAAAACACTGAAGTAGATCCATTGATATCTGAAGAAGAAATGGTGGCAGCAAATACTCTTTTATCACTAATTCATGAGGATACTTCAGCGTCGAATCAGAAAACTTTTCATGACTTTTCAGTGCAAGTGAATACTCCTAACAAACTGACATTGTGCCATTTTATTACTTCAGATGCCTCATTAATTACGCTAACTGGTTTAAATAGTCAACAAATGTTAGACAAGATTGTCGAATCAGTGTGTATAATTTATAAAGACCAACGAATTCATAAACTGTCAATTAGAGACCGAGTGATATTAACATTTGTTAAATTGAAGTGGAATTTAAGCTATTCAATATTAGCAATATTTTTTGGCTTAACTCCTAGTTTATGTAGAACTTACTTGCTGCGTATGATTAAGTTGTTGTCTTCTGTGTTGAGAGCAGTCATTGAGTTTCCTTCAATGGATGAAATTAGGCAAAACATGCCAATTTGTTTTGAAGACTTCAAAGATACACAGATTGTGCTTGACTGCACAGAAATATATACACAAATTCCAAAATGCTTGTGCTGTCGTATAAGATTTTATTCACATTATAAAAGTGCACAAACTGTGAAATTTATGACAGGTGTTTCTCCTGCAGGTTTAATTACTTTTATCAGTAAACCTTATGGAGGTCGAGCTTCAGATAAAATGATTTTTGAAAACAGCAATTTAATTGATAAACTAGAAGAAAACTCGAGCATAATGGTAGATAAAGGCTTTTTGATCGACAGCATTTGTTTGGAGCACAACATTAAATTGTATCGTCCACCATTTCTTCGATCAAAGAAACAGCTAGACGAGAATGAATCTCAGTATAATACCAAAGTAGCTGCAGTTCGAGTACACATAGAACGCACCAACCAGCGAATAAAAATTTTCAATATTTTAAGTGGAAAATTGCCCTGGGGTCTTGTACACTGTGTTGAAGACATATTCATAATTGCATGTGCAGTAACTAATTTATCTGCACCAATTTTAGCAGATGATAAATTTATAAAATAAATAGAAGTGAAAACATCTTTTTGTTTTATTTACCACATTGCGTTTAATTAGTAATTATTATGATAATTGTGTTATATTTATTCTCAACACCACTGCTAATTCCATAATAGGTACTGTGTGTCCACTTAAGTTCGCAGAATATGGGAAACTTTTTTATTATCAATTTTATGAGTTGGTAACTTCAAGATTTGATTTCTGACAATATTTTGAGAAAAAAAGTTCCCATAAACATGTGTCCGGAAATGCGTAATTTTTGAGATACAGGGTGTCAAGGTTTTTAAAAAAAAATAGTTTTGTTTTAAAATTTATAATGCAAAAACCCCTTTCTCGATTTTCGACAAACTTGGCAGGTTTGTTTGCAATAACAAAAGGTATCCTTTGACTCAATTAGATCAGGGCAACTAAAAAAGTAGAAAAAAACTGGCACCTCACCATTTTTTAATAACTTTGATATTTT